CAAGTCATGTGATGTCCAGTACAAGGAAACATCTTTTAAAGAACAAAGTGCATATTGAATGATGCCCTTCTGAACTGGAGATGAAGATGCTTCTTCAAATCCACTTGCTTTTCAGCTGGGAATCCCTCTCCTAGGATACCAACTGCCGTTTCTCCAAGAAAATAGGAAAAGTTCTTCACCCACATCACCGTCTCCAAACCTGGCTTCAATTTAATCATGTAAGTGGGCGTTGAAACCAACCTAAAGTGTTATGGTGAGTCCAATGACAATTTTCTTGCATATTTATTATCTTACCATGAAAGGGCTGGATTGAGCCTGAGCCCCACAGATCCCATCAACCTCTGTTTGCAGGTCTGGGTCCTTTGCACTTCTGTATATCAGGTTCAAATACAGGAAAGCCTCACTATTCGCGGGTTTGGCATTCGTGGTTTCAAATGTTCCCAAATGCCGAACCCGCATTGTAATACATTTAAAAGATTTTCTCGGGAGCTCTGCGCTTGCCGCCACTGGGCTCCTGCCACTGCCGCCGGGGTCCTGCCGCCCCAGTGCAACTGTGCCCCCTTCTCCCTCCCCCCGGGAGGGAGCTTTCCCCCGGGAGGCAGCTTTCCCCCCAGCTGCCGGGGGCACTGCATTCATGAACGCAGAGCCTTATTCACGGATTTCACCATTCGCGGGGGATACGTTCTCGTTGTCGGTAGTTGCTGTCCAGGTAAATTCTGACATGAAGGCTCTCACTTGCTTCCACCCATGCCAACCAGTGAGGTTTGGGAAACTACACAGCAGTCTAGAAGTCCCGGTCATAATCCTGTACTAAGTGGATACCATTTTCTTTTTCCAATGCCTACTATTTTTGGTGACCATTACATTTGGAGTGGTCAAAAACAAGAGCAGTCTGGAAAGCGAAATACCCTGGGGGTTATTCCTAGAGTGTATGGTAATGCTTTCAAAGGATGTGTGATGACATCAAGCAATGATAGAAGTCAGTTAGATGGGAAATAAGATCTGTGTCATGGAGTCTTCGTATAAGTAAAAGTGATGTGACATATAGTCAACTTTGAACTGGGACTGCCATCAGAGCCCAGCCCTTGCTCTCACTCACCGTGACCTTGGAATAACGTGTCCACTAACTCTGCTCTCACTCTCCCACTGAACTCTTCTGCTTGGTCCACCAGGGCTTCCCTCACGGAGTCGGAGTCGCAGAGAAACATTAACTGCCACATGCCCAAATTCACAGGGAACACGGGGCTGTACTTCTCTTTCACCTGTGTTGGGAGTTGGTACAAATGAGAAGCCAGGAGGGTCAGATGCTGCCATGACCAGCAAGGTGCACTCAACCCAGGCAGATGAGTGATACGTGGCCGTAGCCAGAGTGATGGACGTTGGCCCATGAAATCCCGGATCAATTTACATCCCACATGGAACTGCTGGGCCAGTTGGGCTCTACGGAGATTCCAGTGCGTCAGGGGGATTTCTCCTCGCTCTGTTCCAGTAGTGCTCAGACGTGAAATGGGACGTGGGAGCCCCTGGTAGTAAGCTTTCAATGTACTGAGGTAGACCTGTCCCAAGGATTTGATGAGGCACAATATTCTGGCCCCATTGACCACTGAGGAGCTGGGCTGGAGGGGTGTGGGCCCTTGGTCACCAGAGCCTTCACACACATGTTTAACTGGATGTATAAGCCAAAAAGACGTGTCAAGGAGGGAATGCAAGGAATGAAAACCCCCATGTGACAGCAGCCAGGCCATGTCATTTAGGTGGTGACTCAAGAAAGGATGACGCTGGCTGTTTAATAAGCCTTCTCAATATGGGTTGTTACTATGCATTTCAACACATAGTTACGTGGCATTTAATAAGGATCTGGATTGGCTGGAGAATGTTATATCATGCAGGAGCCTGGCTGTAATTGCTCACATACCCGTTCAGGCATGGGTCGAGAAAAAGAGAGTGGCTTGTGTTGTGGGGTGCAGCCTTTGGCCATCTGGTTGCTTCTGTTTCTTCCTGATTCAAATGACTCTCACAAGAACTTCTGGTCAAGCCTCGGGCCTCTCAAGTGTCCTGTTCTTTTCCCCAGCATGTGATCCAGATTGCCAAGCTGAGCCCTGAGGATGCTGGTGGGTGCTGCATGCCACCAAAGAGCTGCCCGTGGTGCTGGGTGACAATCAGGGAGCTTCCTGGAGCGTGGCACGAAGCATAGTGCAGAGCAGGGAGTCTGCCCATCGCCAGCCCTCCACAGAGCTCAGCAGACCCGTCTCAGGATCTAGAGCACCCTGAGGGGAGGCCCTTGCCCCGCTCTGATAATGCAGTTAGTTGCAGAGCATCCTGACTCCAGAGCAGAGCTGGTGCTGGCGGTAATGAAAAGCCTTGTGGGCACCCATGCAAGTAGATGACCAGGGCACGGGGCTGCTTTGAGCCTCGGGGAACCAAACTGTCTATCACTAGGGACATACCTAACTCGTGATGGGTGGAAGCAATTTTTGTGGCTTGGTCATGGCCTGAGAAGCCATTTTGTGGTCACTTCACTGTTGCCCAGCCCCTTAGTGCTGATTGATGGAGAGGCCCAGCCCTTTGCTCTGATTGGCAGGGAGGCCTCAGGAGGAGGAGGGGCAAGAGGGTGGCTGCCATCTCGACTGCTGCCCTTCGTGCTGCCCCACCAGCCAGCACCTTCCTGTCTCAGGAGGGCTGCAATTTCCTGGTTGATTTCCTGGGACATTATCCCTACTGCCATTTTTCAGAGAGATGGCTGGTTTTCCTGAAACCGCGATTTAAGTAGGTCCCTACCCATCACCCACAACCCCCGTGCCCAGCCTGGGGGCTGCATGACGGGGCTCTTTCCACAGCTCCTGCTGAAGCCAACTCCCGGGCAACCAGGAATGGTCTAGTTGGGGATGGCAAGCTAGAAGGAGCTTAACTGTAGCCCAGTGAAGATCATTCTTCAGTAGAAGGTGGGGTGTAGTCTGGGTCCAAGTCCCAGGCATCAGGACTGTCTCTATTTCCAAGTGAGTGCACGATGAGTCCTGGGAGCTGACCCTGCAGGTATGCACACAGTCCCGAGATAGTGGGGTCTGCGCTAGCGCAGGTGCTGAGCTTTGCTAGCACTCCTGGGTGCCATTGCCAGCCCTCTCTGGGGAGCAGGTGGTGGGGGAAATGGCTCCCCAGGTAGACCAGGATGAAGGTGAGGGCTCTGGGGTGGAGATGGCTTGCCTTCCGCAGTATTTCAAGCATCCCCTTGTTCCTAGCCTGCAGCAGGTAGCCAGAGGGTTCGAGAAGTGTTGGCCCTGGGGGGGAGTTTGCTTGTTCGTTGCCGCCGTTTCCACTCCCAGAAGATCATCAGGCAGGCTGCCAGGAGGAGAGTCGCTGCGTCTCCAAGCTCCATTTTGCCAAGAAGTTGGCAGACCGAGAGCAGTACCAAGAGCTGTCTGATGTGATGTACTTCATGCTCACCTGCCTGCGGGGGTGTGTGTGTGTGTGTATATGTATATGTGTATGTATATGTATACCATACCAGACAAGCAGGAACCCCTAATTAGACAGTCATGTGGGACTTGGCGGGCATGCCCATGAGGCATCATTGTATCTTGCTCTTGAGTTGTCAGAGTTAAGTACGTCATGTCTAAGAGGCACCCTGGAATGGCTGCACATGCGTCTGCTTCCTGTTTGTCCAATCATGCGACTCTCATTAAACTCTGCTCTCCTGATCAGGAACAAGTCAAGACTGCAGTCGGAGCCCAGTCCTCAATCACCGCTTCCATGGAAGATCCTGTCTCCTGAGTCTACTCTGAACTCCTCCGCGTGGCCCTCCAGGCCTTCCTTCAAGGCTGCATAGCCATGGCTACAGTGCATATGGCTGGTTCTTCCTAAGTCCAGCATCTCCAGCTGCTAATGACCGAGTCTTTTCTGTTGCCTGTCTCCTCTAGACCTTCGAGCGCTTCCTAGCGAAGCCGACACCTCCCCAGCTGGATTTGCTACATGAAGGAGGCTGCCTGGCCCTGGTACCTCGGTGACTGTTTTGTTCATTTGCCGTGCAGACACAGTAATAGTCGGTCATTGCTTCAAAGCCCTTCCAATCTGCAGATGTACAGCGGGAAACGATGGGATACTCCTTCCATCATGGAAATGGATGCATTGAGGCTCTATTTCAAGTGACCTGCCCACTGAAGGTCAAAAGAACCCACTGCTGCCATGCTCTGGCTTGGCAAGTGAAACCCCTGAGCTGGGACTTAGCCCAACACTTTGGTGAATTAGCTCCTGCTGTCCTTAGTCCTTCTCCAGACATGAGAATCCATGCCTGCTTTGTGAAAGTTGTATTTGCAGCACCTGCCAGGACTCTTAAGGAAGAGACAAATCCCAAAGGAGGCGAAAGCCCAAGCAGTTGTTCCTATAGACATATAAGAACAAGGAAAATGCCATGAGTACTTCAGCCAGAAAGGGACAGAAGCAACTCCTAAAGGTAAAGTCGTGTGTGAAGGCTTCCTTCTTGACGTGCGTCCATGTGCTGCCTTAGTACAAGAGACATCCTGCCTGTGTACACGCTCTCTGAGGCTGTGTGCTGCAGCCCTTCCTCCTGCAGGAGTGCAGAGCTCATAGCTGGGAGGCACGATTCCAAGCCCGCTCTTTCTGGGAGTGAGATCAATTTCCTACGAGGGTTTTGGTGATTTCAGTGTGAACTGCTGCAGGATGGAGGTTAGAACGAGGAAGATCTCTGTGAGGGCCAGGCTCTTTCCCAGACATTCCCTCTTGGCTGCGGAGATGAGCAGAGCCAAGGGTGAATGAAGGCGCTCTGGTCAGCAAAGATTTAAGAATACAGCCTGGCTGAGCTATACTCCTGGGAATTTGTCTGGCTACCAATAGATGGGAGGGTGGATACAGTTCTCATCTGCCTCTGATTTGGCCTCTTGACCTACAACCTCGTACCTATGGACTCCCTGGACCAACCCTGCCAATTTGGGACGAATTCAGGAGGGCTCTTCCAACCCTACTTTCCTATGAACCTCTGAAGAAGGTGCCTGAGATGGACCCCTGGTCTGGTCCTCCTATAGGAAGAGCCAGGTGCTGAGAAGCAGAGGAGGACCTCTGGGTCTGAACGTGATGTGTCCTGGATGGTTTTCAGTGTGATGACAGAGCATTGCAGGCCCATTGGTGCTCACTGTGTTTAGGCCCGAAGAGGTTTTTGTGGTTGTTGATGGGAAAAGCTGGGCTGTGGCTCTGTGGAGCCAGCACTGTCACCCATATCTGTGGAAAATGGCAGGAAGTCATTCTTCTTCTTGAAGAAGCCTTCCTCATCCAGGAAATGCACTGGGTGGAAGTGTTCTGGATCCTTGAAGTATCTGGCATCTTGGAGAACCACGCTCAAACAGTGCAAATGTCTGTGTCCTGGAGCAGACAGATGGAAATATTAAACACTTTCCAATTGGAGCTTCTACCGGCAAAGAAACCCTCCTGCAGCTGGGAACTGTGGGGAAGTAGCTCTACCTAGAGTCAAGGGTTTCCCAACGTCTCGGGCCGAGCACGTAAAATCTAACACTGGTTACAGAGCTGAGAAATCTCTTGGGCAAGGTAGAGAGAGGCCCCTCAGTGCCACTTAGGATTGCAGGGGACCCAGTCATGACAAAAGAGTGGCCTGCAGGTGTTCAGTCTACTTCATATGCTTGGCTGTCTAAGTTCCCACCAGTCTGGGCTCATCTCCTTTTGAATGTAGAGCAGTGTCCTCTCCAGACCCCAGTGCTTCGTTGGGGGGAGAGTGTAATGTGTGTATGGAAAGTTGTTGGTGGACCCCGGAGGTAGCACCTTGGGGAGAAGGTAACCCTGGAAGTGGGTGTCGAAGGTCATTTTGTGCAGAAAGCCCAGAGGGGCGATGTTAGCGAATCTCTGGATCTCGTGGATCACGGCGTTGGTGTACGGCATCCAGGCTCAGTCATTCATGGCTGGGCTGTGGGTCCGCCCTATGACGATTTTCTCGTGCACTTTCTCTGCAGAGACAGGGTGAGAAGGGGTGGGATTGGCGTTTGTGCCATGGACTCTGATCCACCAGCAATGTCAGTTGTCTAAGGTCAGGCCTAGCCTTAGCCCACCTCGGGTGGCTACTGCTACCTCCAGAAGTGCCCCTTTCCCTGTTTCTTCGAAGCCTTCCAGCTCTTGCTAGGAAAGGAGACCCCTTCCCAGCGGGATGGTCTCACTGGCCCTGGTCTGAGGACCCATTGTGTTAGATGCAGCACAGACCCACAGTAAAAGACTATCTCTGTCCCAAGCCCCTTCTCATCTGCAGGCTTAAGGCAAAGCCGTCTTAATCATGGGTGCTTTTTTTTTGTTTTTTTCCAGTGCCCAGTCCAGGCCTGCCCAGGGCATCTCGGGCAGAGCTGGGGGTGAAATCCAGCGCCTCTGAGTCCCACCCCCATCTAACCCCCACCATTGCTCTCCATGGATAACTGTTCTCTGTGCAGGTTTTGCAATGCAGCACCAGCTCCAGCCTCCCTGAAATATAAAGCATAATCCTCCCTAATGATGGAGCCTCCCCATTATCAGATAATTAATCTGCGCCTGGAAAGCTATCTCTGTGGCATGTGATAAAGGCCTAGTTTAGCTGCAGGGCACATCACGAATGAGCCTGGCTGTAACTGGCCACGTACCCACCTAAGCATGTGCCAAAACAAAGGATTGTGGACTTTGCCATTGTGGTGCAGCCCACCATCATCGGGTCACTTCCTTCCCTGTCTGATCTGAACGGCTTTCACAAGAGGCTCCAGGGTCAGGAACTGGGAGGCTCAAACATCTGGCTCTTTGCCCCACAGCATGATCTGGACTGCCAGGTTTAGCCCTGAGAGTGAAGGAGGGGAGCTGGGTGCCACCAAAGAGCAACCCATGGGGTTGGGCACTGAGCTGGGGGCTGCCTAGAGCTAGCCAGTAGGCAGTGCAAGGAGCAGGGAGAGTCTAGGTTGCCACCTCTCCATGGGGCTCCAGCACCCGCCCTCTGGACCTACAGCTCTCGAGGAGATGAGGTCTCTGACCCGGCCATGTCACAGAGCTGGTTCCTTGCACATCTCTTTAGCCCAGGTCACAGCTGTGGCTCTTATTACTGGCCCTGATTTAGGCAGGGCCACCCTCAAAGCTTCCACAGCACCATCTTGTTGTCATTGGCTTTCAGTCCACAGAGGTAACATTGGGGGAAGTTTCAGGGTTAAGCAACTTGAAGAGCTCTTGAAACTTGTGGAGTGCCATACAGGTCTAGTAAGGGCTTGGAACTAGGCCTAGTTCTAGGTCCCTTCTAGGTGGGGCAGGAAATCCCTTTTGCCCTGGTGAAGAGTGGGTGTCCCGGGCTGGGAGTTTGGACTCCCGGGCTCTGTTGCTGGCTGCAGGGGGAGAAGAGTCTAGTAGTTAGAGCAAAGGCAAATGAGTCGGGACTCCTGGGTTCCAGATCCAGCTGGGAAAGAGGCAGTGGCCCAGTGGTAAGGCCTTGGGGCTCAGACTGTGTGGTGACCCAGGCATGAGAGTGCCCCCTCACTCTTGACTCCCACTTTTTCCTCCTTGAAGTTGAGACCAAATACTGGACCCAGCTCCCTAGTGAGCTGTGTGGGCTAATTCAGGAATGGGCAAGAGCCCAGGGCAGGAACTGGAAGGACTTCTGGTGAAACCAGGACCCAGGCAAGGCAACCTGACTCGCCTTCATCAGCCACCTGTTCAGCCCACGCTGCTTCAACTGCAGCCCATAGCCTAGGAGGGGAACTTGCCTGGTCACTGCCAGCATTTCCCCTCTCAGATCATCAGGCGGGCAGGTCAGGCTGCCAGGAGGAGAGTCCCTGCATCTCCAAGCTCCACTGGGCCTAACCACTGGGAGACAGAGCATTGCCAAGAGGCATCTGATCTGATCCACTTGGTGCTTGTACCAAGGCAGGCAGCAGGGGAGTTGGCTGGTATGGCACTGAGGCGTGGGCAGATCTAGTTCCTGGGTTCTCCACTGTGAGTGAATGCATCATATGTGAGATCAAAGGAACCGAAGCTGGTTTTGCGTGCTTCTGCTTTCTGTTTATCCAAACACCTACCTTGTCAGGCTCTACGCTCTGGCTTAGGACCAAAACAATCCCTGACCTGTAGCAAGACCTCTGCTATCTCTGTAGACCTGTGTTGCCATTACTTTGAACCTGAAGCCAAATCCTGAACCTTTCCTGGGTTTGTTAGCTGGGAAGTCAAGAGGTGGCTGATCTGATTTCCTTACTGCTTGAGTGCGTATGTGTATGGCAGCTGGGTTGCGAGCCAAAAGTGTCGCAAGAATATACGAAAGGGTCATAAACGAACTTTCAAAATGGATTCACTTTTAAAGGAGGAAAACATGAGAAACAGTGGGTTTCCCCTTGCAAGCAGCCTGCAAGGCACTGCTTGGTACTGGGGGCAGTGCGAGGAGGACGATTAGGCGGGGGTGCCACATGCACGAGTGCAGGCACACGTGCACGTGGCCTCCAGGCAGCGTGGGGAGAAGCCCCCACAGCTTTGCACAAGTGTTTGTGTGGTTGGGGGGGATGAGCGGGGAGAATGGATGATGCATCAGGGGGATGGGGGGGGGGGGGCCACAGGCGACACTGCCCACCCCTCACCTCCTCTCTGGGCAAGAGCTATGGCCTGAGGGGAGTGGCAGGCAGGTCATGGTCGTGGGGTAGAGCTCTGGCCCAACACGCCGGTGGCTGGCAGTGGGAGAAAGTGAGGGCAGCATGGCCCCCGTCCCTGTCCATGACTCCTCGCGCTGGTGGCATTGCGGCTGTCATGGGGTCCTGGCTGCAATGGCAGCAATGACTCTCACACCCCTGATCTGCCTTCTCACGCTGAGTCCTGCTCTCTGGACCACATAGGTGGCTCCTGCCTATGCTGACCCAGGCAGGCAGCAGCCCCATGCACAAATCTGGGGGGGGCACAAGGCCCCCATGCCCCACCCCCCCCTTCCCTATGCATCCACCCCTGGCTCTGCACACTGGGAGGCTGAGACCTGGGGGTGGGGGGGCAGCAGGTCAAGAGTCAGGGGAACCAGCAAGGCTGGGGGTGGGGGGCTGTGGGTTGGGAGTGAGGGCCCACTGGCAGGGCCAGAGAGCTGTTTTCTACTTAAACTATTTACAGGGTCAGGACTGGCCATCTGTTTACGAATGGGTCCTGGTACAAAAAAAGGTTGGGAATCGCTGATCTGTGGGGCGTGAAGCCACCCGGGAGGGTGGCTACAGCATCGAAGGTGCTCCAATGGTCACAGTGACCTGGGGACTGACTTGACTTAACTATTGTCGGCCGCTGCTGTGAAGTTTAAGGAAAAGACCGATTCCAGCGGATGTGAAAGCCCAAGGGATCATCCCTAGCACCGGAGAAGAAATGTCTTCTCAGTAAGTCCCAGTCCCCTTCTTCAGTCAGCAAACTACACGCTCTCCTCCACCTGGGACACCCAATTCTGTCCTCATTCTCCTTTCGGGCAGGGTTGGAAACTGTACCGAGGAGTCGTGCTCAAGGGCTTGTTTTAGTTGCAAAAATATATTCACTCCGCAACCCATCTGCCTTCCACCCCCATCCACTTGTTTCACATTTTCATGGTTTCATAGACATTGCATGTTGTTGTTCAAGTACCTGCTAAGTGTACTGCCAGACGGTTTAAATAAGTGTACAGCAGCTATTTGGTGAGCATAAACTTAGTGCAGCCTTTCTTTATTCATGCTATCAGCCAGGTGCTCGGACTGGCTGACAGCAGGGATAGTGTAGGGTTAAACACAAATCCAAAGTGCATTTCTGTTGCATGAAGCCCACGTCATTGCTGACTGATTGATCATGTTTGGTGCCACGTTCCTTTATAATTTGCTGGTTAATTAAGTTGTTTAATGACATGTCTTCTCAGGTATGTACCACGTACAATGTATGTTTCTCATCTACTACGGGATGCTGGTACTGATCCTTACATCCCAGGATATTCTTGATGTAATTCCACATGCTCTGATGCACCCTGGGGCTTTCCAAAGCCCGCAGACTTTAACTCTTACTGCTCTTGGCCTGTCTTATGGCCTACAACACTGCCATTTCTGCAATGTGGAGACAAACAGAAGTATGAAAAACACCATGGATATGATGGCGATCTGCGGGCAGTGCCGACAGGTGAGGTCTTTCTTGGGAGGTCTCCTCAGTGACATGCTGTATTGGCCATTTTAGGGTCAAAAGGTCCTTTGTAAGTTGCTTATGAAATCATGGGGCCGCTACACAACCAAGCAATGTTTGTCAGGTGACACAACCCTGGATCATCTCCTGAGATGCCCTGTAGCACCACAATGCAGCCCACAAGATTCGGCAACACCAACACCAGGAGCAGTGGCCTGTGCAGAATACTGGAAGAAGACTGTACAGAAAGTTTGGACTGGAGATGTGAAGGAGGTCTTTTGCCCTGTTCCATGCCTTTTTGCAGTTGCCTGAGACACTGTCGTGCAGCCCTTCCTCCTGTGGGAGGGCATAGAGCTCATAGCTTGGAGGAACAATCCCAAGTCCATTTGCTCTTGGGGCGAGGTCGATTTCCTGCGCGGGTATTGGTGATTTCAGGGTGAAGCGCTGCAGGATGGTGGTCAGCATCAGGAAGAGCTCCACGAGGGCCAGGCTCTTGCCCAGACACCCCCTCTTTCCTGCAGGGATAAGCAGAGCAACGGGCAAATAAATGAACTCCAGTTAACAAGAGTCTAACAGGAAGACCTGACTGAGCTATAAGTCCAGGAAGGTCTCTGGCAAGGAATAAATGGGAGGAAGGATTCTGTGTTCCCATTTGACTTCAAGTTCTATAAATGCACTCTCTACAGACCTCAAAGCTTTTTCTCCCACCACAAACATGGCCTGTCCTTCTGGGATGATGAGGAAACTGAGTCACAGAGGAGTGAATTGGTTCTTCCAGTATCCTAGCAGTCTTTGAGCGGGCAGCCCAGCCCAGTAGGGTTGGGAATGGAGCCGTCACTCATACCTGTGCCGAACGGCAGAAAGCTATCATTCTTTTTGAAGTGGCTTTCCTCGTCCAGGAAATGCTCCGGGTGAAAGCTTTCTGGATCCTTGAAGTATTTGTGGTCCTGGAGGACTGTGCCCAAGACCGTGCAGACATCTGTATCCTGGAGGAGAGAGGCAGAAACACAGCCGGAATGGGAGAGTTAAACCCTTTCCAGTTGGAACTTCTGCCAGCAGACAGAGTCTCCTGCAGCTGGGAATTGTCGGGGAATAGTTCCACGCTAGCATCAAGTGTTTCCCAACCTCTCAGGCTAAGAGGATGTTACATCTACCACTGGTTACAGAGCTCTGAAATCTGGGCAAAGTAGAGCTAGGCCCTGCAATGCCAGTGTGGTGAGGAACCCACTCATGCCAATGTGCCTGGGATCACTACTATAGCACTGGCCTCCTCCATGTAATACAATCACAGAAAATGAGGGCTGGAAGGGAGTTCAGGAGGTCACATCTAGTCCAACCCCTGCTCTAAGCAGGACCAGCCCCAACTGCATCATCCCAGCCAAGGCGTGGTCCAGCCAGGGGTGGAGATTCTACAACCACTCTGGGTAGTCTGTTCCACTACTTCACTACTCTCCTAGTGAAAGATTTTTCTCCTAATATCCAACATACACTTCCCACGTTGCAAGTTGGAACCATTGTTCTGACATCTACCCCTACTGAGATCATTCCAGCTCCATCCTTTTCGGAACCACCCTTCAGGGAGTTGAAAGCTGCTATCAGATCCCCTTCTGAGTCTTCTCTTCTCCTGGCTAATTAAGCCCAGTTCCCTCAGCTTTTCCTCACCAGTCATGCCCCACAACCCCCGAAACATTCTTGTTGCCCTCTGCTGGACTCTCTCCTTTTTGTAATGACAGGGCCAAAACTGGACATGTGTTTCTAGATGTGGCCTCCCCAGTGCTGAATAGGGAACAATCACTTCGCTCGATCTGCTGGCAGCCCTCCTACCCATGCAGCCCAGGATGCCATTAGCCTTCTTGGCAACACGGGCACACTGCTGGCTCTTGTCCAGCTTCTTCTCCACTGTCACCCCCAGGTCTTTCCTGCAGATCTGCTGCCCAGCCAGTCACCCCCAGCCTGTCCCGGTGCATGGGATTGTTCAATCCTAAGTGCAGGACTTTGCACTTATCCTTGTTGAACCTCATGAGATTTCTTTTGGTCCAACCTCCCAGTTTCTGGTTTTCTCTGAATCCTAGCTCTGCTCTAGGTGTTTAATCAAATATATAAGGCCATTGAAGGAGGTCTCTGTGTCTGTAGTCATTCCTTCTTGAATATCAGGCAGCCTCCAACCCCAGACCAGAGTGCTCTGCGGGAGGAAATTATGAGGCACGAATGGAACGTTCCCGGTAACCCACGAGGCAGCACCTTGGGGAGAAGGTACCCCTGGAAGTGGGTGTCGCAGGTCACTTTGTGGGGGACCCCAAATGGAAGGATGTTAGCCAGTCTCTGGATCTCGTGGATCACGGCGTTGGTGTACGGCATCCGGCCTCGGTCGTTCATGGCTGGGCTGTGGGTCCGCCCTATGACGCGGTCGATTTCCTCCTGCACCTTGTCTGCGGAGACAGGATTGGAAGGGGTGGGCTTGGTGTTTGGACCGCAGGCTCTGATGCCCCAGCAATGTCAGTTGTGTAAGGACAGGCCCAGCCTCAGTGAAAACCCTTCCTCAGCCTATCTTGGGTGGCCACTACTGCCTCCAGAAGTGCCCACCTTTTGTTCCCTCTTCTTGGTCTCTTCTAAGCCTTCCAGGTCTTCCTAGGAGAGAAGGCACCTTCCCAGCTGGATGGTGTCACTAGCCCCTGGTCCGAGGATCCATTGTGTCAAATGCAGCACGGACCCACAGCAAGAGACATTCAACGCCCCCAGCCCACTCTTATCTACAGGCACAAGGCAGAGAGTGATATTCCTTCTGTCTTCAGCCAGGGAACTGTCCAGTGCCTGGTCCAGGGCTGCACAAGGCATCTTGGGCAGAGCTGGGAGTGAGATGCAGACCCTTGACATCCCACCCCATTTAACCATCACCATTGCTTTCCATGGATAACTATTCTCTGTCCAGATTTGGCAATTCAGCACCAGCTCCAGCCTCACTGAAATATAAAGCTAATCACTGCCTCGTTAGCAATTGGCATCCTTAATGGGACTCTGGAGACAGAAAGCTGGGCAACAGTGACCTTGAGATGATCACTTTCTCCATCCAGCAGAAGTCAGGGAAATTGGCAAGTAAAGTAGAAATTCTTGATTTTTAGGAAAGCTGAATTCCACAAGCTTAGGGGATTGGTTGGCAAGGCTCTGCAGGACCATGGTCCAATGAGGAAGGTGTACAAGAAGGGTGGTTGTTCCTCAAGGAAATGATCCTAAAAGCTCAAAGGGAGTCCATTCCCTTTCATAAAGAGGCAGCAAAAGGGCTGGGAGACCCCCTTGGCTCAACAGAGAACTCATGGACCTCCTGAAATTAAAACGAGAAGCCTACAAAAGATGGAAGTCAGGAATAACTACCAAAAATGGAGTACTTGGCAACAGCCTGCACCTGTAGAGAGTAGATCAGGACAGCAAAAGCACAAACCAAATACAGATTGGCAACTGGAATGAAGGACCACAAAAAGTCCTTCTTTAGATATGTAGGGAGTCAGAGGATAAATAAGAGAAGCGTAATAAATGAAATAGGCGGACCTCAACCTGATGTCATTTAATACAGTGAAATGTAAAGTGCTCCATCTGGGGAGAAATAATCCACAACACACTTACAGGCTCGGCAGCGCTATGCTTGCTAGCACCACAACAGACCGAGACCTGGGTGTCGTGATAGATGACAAAATGAACATGAGCCACCAGTGCAATGCCGTAGCTGACAGAGCTAATCAAACACTGGCATGCATCTACTGAGGCATCTCAAGCAAGCCTAAGGATGTCATCCTCAAGGCTCCCTCTAAGGTGCATGTGTGTGCGGCCGCGCACGAATAAAAGTCTGGCCACGCACCAACTTTTTCAGGCTGTGCACCCACCAGGAATGGAGCTGGGCTGTAGCGTGGGACACTTACTAAAGGTAAGCTCCTCCCTGAGGTGAGGTGGGGGTGGGGGCCTGGTGTGGGCTTCGCCGGCTCTGGGGAACTGCTCCACTCTCCCGCATCGCCTCAGGGAGCGAGGAGGCACGTGGTGTCAGGGCCCGGGAGTGGAGCCGGCAAAGCCTCACTCGGGGCAGTCAGCGGCTCCTTCCCGAGGTGAGGCAAGGCAGGGATGGAGGCTGGGGCGGGGGTGTGGCGCGGCCTCCGCTGGCTCCGGGGAAATGCTGTATGGGCTCTGCCGGCTCCGGGAAAGTGCTCCACTCCCCAGCCCTGATGCCACGTGCCTCCTCGCTCCCCGAAGTGATGCGGAGCAGTAGAGCAGTTTCCCGGAGCCTGCGCCAGGCACCAGGCCCTAGCCCCCACTGCCTGCCCTGGGTGAGGAGTGAGGAGCTTACCTTTGGTAAGTGTCCAAAGCTGCACCAAAAGGGGGAGGCAGGACTGAAGTGGCGCGCTCACAGGCCACTACTCCTTAGAGGGAACATTGGTCATCCTCCCTTTCTACTTGGCTTTGGTGTGACTGCAGCTGGATTTGTGCATCCAGCTCTGGGTGCCACACTGCAGGAAGGATGTGGCGAAGCTTGAGAGAGCCCAAAAGAGAGCCACATGCATGATTAGAGGCCTAGAGACCAAGTCATACCAGGGGAGGCTGAAAGACTTGGGACTGTTCAGCCTGGAGAAGAGAGGACTCAGAGGAGACTTGGTGGCAGCCTATATGTATATCAGGGGAGTACATCAGGGCCTGGGGGAGCATCTGTTCGCCAAGGCCCCCCAGGAAAGGACAAAGAATAATGGGTACAAGCTGATTGAGGAGCTCTTCAGGCTAGATCTAAAGAAATAATTCTTTACAAGTCAAGTGCCCAGGGTCTGGAACAGACTCTGCTGAGAGGTGGTAAAGTCCTCCACCATGGCGATCTTCAGAAAGCGTCTTGACGCTCATCTTGCTGGGGTCATCTGAACGCAGTGGTCTTTCCTGCCCAAGTGCAGGGGGGGTGGACCCAATGATCTGTAAGGTCCCTTCCAGCCCGTAACAACTATGAAACTAGAAGCTTGCTGGTTCCATATTCTTTGCTGTACTACTGTAGCCTTTTTTGATCAGATACCTGTGAGATTTGATATTGATGAAAGCTATGTCAACGGAAAAGAAGTATTTGATCTTAACAAGGATAGGCAAATAAAAAAAAATAATATTCCTATTTAATATGATTTTTAAAAGGCTTACTATTTTAAGTGGCGGAAGAATTCCAGAAGTGTACAAGGTGCTCACTACTGTAGTGCATAAATGTCTCAGGCTTAAAGCAAGATCATAACTCTTCCTGCTGCATAGACAGCATGCCAGATTGCACTTCAGCTAAGCATCCCGTACAAATAGGCTCATGAGGAATTTGCATCCAGTGAACATTGCACATTTTTATGGCTTATGGCAGACAAAATGCCATGCCATGCTATAGTATAAACATTGCACACAATGCTCATGAAAATATGCCATAAACAAGCAAATTAAAATGCAAGTGAATGTGCCAATTTAAACTGAAATATTCCACTTAAATCTATAAAACCACAAATTGTAAGGGGCTTCCTTACAATTAGGACTTTTCCTCAAATGCTTCAGTACTACAGTACCTAGAGAGTCATATAATGATGATACAGGTATGTTTCACCTGTACTACCATTTCTTGTGTTTTCTGATAGACATAAGTATCACAAGTTCTGCCTTCTAGTAAGTGCATGTCAGCTTTTGTTACCGATTCCTCCAGGGAAGCGCATCTTTGAGTACCTGCTGAAGCCAGCCTAGATGTTGCTTCTAGAATATGGGTAAACCCTGGTTCCTCCTGATTCTGAGACCCCAGACATTTGGTCCCTGACCCTCTCTGGTTACTTGTGGCTCTGCCCCAGGGAGCTACCTTTCAGTTCAGCTCCTGAGAAAGGGACTTCACCTCTTCAAAGGGAAAAAGAATGCATTCCAACATCCCAAGTAGCCAAACAGAGAGCTCATCTTCAACAAACACATTTGGGGGACCAAAGGCCACACAGCAAGGAGACCTGGCTTCTTATAAAGCACCCTCTGCCTCCAATACAGACTGCATGGCAGTGAACAACTCAGAATTATCTCAGCTGATCCCTCCACTTCCTGTTTGCACCACCTCAAATACCCAATAATAGCTTCACTGTTTGTCCCTTTCTTCAAACTCCAGCTCCTGCACTAGCCTGCTTTTCAGGTTGCTTTCTCTGTTGTGATGCTTAATTCTTCCCTCTTCCTTGGACACCTCCTCAGCCCTGGTGTAAATGATTGGCTCTTCAGACTGAATCAGTTACTTTTTTTTTCTCTTTTAATCTTTGTTTTAAATATTGTGATATATAATGGCAATTGTGTTCAAAGCACACACATTGGGGAATTACCAATAGAGAAAATATTTAAGGTCTCTTTAAAAGTTATTTTATTCCCCAGAATTATAGGTCTTCATCTGTAGTACACAGCAGAAACTGTATTATGGGTTTTTGATAAAAGCCCTCTTCAATGTAGCACTTACCATCTTTTTTTCTTTTGAGGAAAGTAATTGGACCTGTGTTTCCAAACCACTAATTGCCTTAATAATAATCCAGTTGTTTAATTATTTCAGGGTTACTGCAATGGCAGATAGAAATTACATTAATATTTTATTACTTGATGTCTTCCGTGGTCCTAAACATATTTGGACTAGATACATAAAAGATGTGACTTGGAAAGGAGGAACAAACACAGTGGAGATGGCAATATGAGTAACTGTGCCAGGCTCAAAGGGAAAACAAAATATTAAGCTTTTGTCTTCTGCTGCTAGTTGATAAGGGATGAACCATTTTCTGTTCCTTGGAGAGTTATTTATAGTGTCTATTGGAGGGAAGCAAGTTTATGTTAAAGAGATAAATCCTCTATAGTTACTGTATGTTTTGGGTGAGCCAAACAGAAATATTCTGAGCTACCAAATTCGTGAGCCAGTTTGATTCTCTGAGCAGGTCTCTCATTTCTGAGACTAGCAGCGACTGGATATAATCTAGAGACAAAAAATACTGTTCTAATATGGTGCAAGAGGAATACCCTTCTGTTGCTAATTCAGGAATTTGCTATGCAGTTAATGAGAGAGATTAACAGGCTTTGAAGGGTTGTCTTTTGCTGGATGGATGGAGATTGCAATGGGAGATGGAAAACATTGAGATTTCAGGTAGGGATGCAGAGGGTTAAGTTTTCAAAATATGGGTATTGTAGTTTGTTCCTTTAGGCTTCTATAGTTTCTAAAGAAAAGCTCTTTCCTTATTAGAATTCATGGTAAGTGAATTGAAAAACAGTTTAAGGTGTTTTCCATCAACTAAATGCAGTCACAGGGAGGTTAGATTTATTACATTGGTTCTGAATAGAAAAACAATGCTTACCTTTTTATAAGTGATTCTTTATACTGTCAAGGGATAGATATGCTAAACTAATGGAAATAAAATTTAAAACATCATTCAGAGAATAAACA